CATTTCAATCACACATGTTTTATTGTTAATCCAGAAAAACTCATGTGATGTGAATTTCAAAAAGGAATAGTTCATAGAGTTCAAAGTAACAGTTAGGCTTGACTTTCCATTACATCATTGTAAAATATAAAACAGATGGAGTAACGTAAATCTCAGGATTCAGATAACAGCAAGGCGTACAAGCCTGATTTTCATGGTTTATTTAATTTTGATACCTCTAATTATGTTGGTCACTCATAAAGGATCAACCTATAAGACAACATGTATATAAACAATGGTCTGGATAATCTTTATGAATCACATAATGGTAATAATGATACACTAATGCCTCTGAGCCCAAAGTCCTTTGATTTCCGTTTTAATCATTACAATTTTTTCAGTTTTTATGCCACTGCATTGATTATAAACAAAGGAGCCAGTACAGATTGAACAACTTCTCTTGTTTAAACTCAGAATCCAGATAAACTACTTGAACGGTTTTTTATGCTGTAGTCCTCAGACTATTTAACTAAATTATGAACTTATCTATTCTTTAGCCACCCATAACTACATTCATAGTGCAGTATATGTACTGTAATGAAACTATAGTATCATTTGTGAAATAAAAATTGTAGAATCCTAGCAATGGCCACATGATGCAATTCTACTGTATTTGTTTTTTGCTTCCAGATGGTGCTTTATCACTTAACTAAGCCAAGATCTTTTAAAAACTCAACTTGAATAAGGAAGCAACTGCAAAAATGTAATTGCCTCAGATTTTGAGAAGTATTTTCAAATGTAGCATAATACCAGTGAATGACTTTGTATCAATGAATGAAATACAGTGAATACCATGCTTGCAGATAAATCTACTTACTGCAGGGTAGGTAAGTACACTGCATCATGAGGCATTAGGCTTGCATCTGATTTCTCTGATGTGCTAGATCATCACAGTGGGAAAGGAAATTCATTACAGGAGAATATTAAATCTGCACACAGGAAGACTAGCTAGGTACAGGAGAACCCGGTATATTTTCCAGCAACAAATCTGTATCTTGGAGGCCTGAAGAAATTTGCCATGTCATGTCCTCCACAAGGCATAAAGGAGGTAAATGTACACATCTAAATGAAACAATAAAGTGATGCACAAACACTACTAAATTCAAAGATCAAAATTCAAATTACAAGCAATTGATTGTGTTTCACATAACATAAAAGGGAGTTCCAAATCAGATTTTCACACTCCGTGTTGCATCTTTTGTACAAATATCAGGTCTCTGTTCTTGTAGGTACAATACAGTTTTTATATGTTATAAAATCTTATACTTTAGAACCTCTGTTGCTTGTCTTTAACAGTCTTCTACCAGTCATACGTGCCTCCAATCCCATTCCACTAAACCACTTCTGCTAACAGAGCAAGGTATAATTTAAAGGGAATACAACAGTGCTCTAGTTAGCCTGTAATTTTGTTGTGAAATGCAGCTTAGCATTTAACTTGATCTGTTATAATTTTGTTTCCTTCCATGTGCTATACGTTCTAAAGTTATTCAGATTGCTGCAGGAGGCATGAATTTGAGGAATGTGCAGTCTTTGTAGTCCCCCCTGATACTTGCCCTGTGTCCCTAAACTCCTATAAGTCACAGAGCCAGAAATCAAGTTGAAGGTGGAGAACAGCAAGAGTGAACAAAGTCCATGTTCTTGAAGCTGAACTTGTGGAAACAATAACAATTTCCATAACAGCTGGTATACAATGCAAGAATGTTTTACAGTTGTAATTTAATGACTGAAATTTGAAGTTTGAGAACAACTCAGAGATTCAAAACAAGTACATTTAAAATCAAATAACTAAGGGGCATTCCCATAATTAATTTTTCTTCTGAAAGCGATGTGGTCTTGTAAACATCTGAAATCTTCCAGTTTTATCTTACTTAAGTGGCCATTGTTAGCATGCCATTCATTATAGTGGGATAGTATTATACCTGAGCCAATTCTGATTTCACCCATACCCACACCCACACTGCCTAAAAGGTTTAATGAGATGATGATGAAAAGTTGTGTCTTGTACGTCTCACAATTTCCTTTTACTGTTCCTCTACAATCCAGGAATCAGGATTCCCCAGGACCAAAACTAAATTAGCTAAGCACAAATTATAAATTGAAAGTGGCATCTCCCCAGTTTGCTAAGTTCAGTAGTACATCACCAGTGCACTGATTAACTGGATGCATAAGAAATAGGAACAGGAGTAGGCCATTCAGCCCTTCAAACCTGCTTCACCATTCCACATAAGATAGCAGTTCATCCCAGAAGTCAACCTACTGACCCTTCTTTGAACGGTTTCCAATTCAAGTACATCTATCCTTCAATAAGCAGACCAAAACTGCAGTCAGTACTCTAAGTGTTATCTCATACCGACATCCTTTACAGTTGTAACAGGGCTTCTATAATATTCTATCCCCTTGTGATAAAGGACAACATTCCATTTGCCATCTTAATTATTTGCTGTACCTGTATGCTAACTTTTAGTGATTCATTAACAAGGGCACACAGATCCCTCTATGCCACAGCATTCTGCATTTTCTTTCCATTTAATAATATCCTTCATTTCTATTCTTCCTACTGCAGTATTTGACCTTACATTTCCCACATTATACTTCACCTGCCAATTTTTTTGCTCCTTTACCTATCCACACCTGTTTACGGACTCTAACCTCCTTACAACTTGCTTTCCCATCTGTCTTCATAGCTTTAACAAATCTGACCACAATGCAAATCTGTCCCAAGATTCAAGCAATTAATATACTGTAAATAGTTGAAGTTCAAGCACTGGTCCTCACAATACCTCACTAGCTACAGTTTGCCCAGCTGAAAATTACTTTTATTCTGACTCTTTTTCTCCCTGTTGTTAGATAATTCTATATGCTTGCTAGTATGTTAAACATAACACCATCATGTCTTGTTTATCAACTTTTATGTGGTACTTTATTGAATGCCTTTTGAAAACCAAATATGCTGACTCTATCAGTTCCCTTTTATTCACCATGTTTGTTCCATCCTCAAAGAGCTCTCCAAAATTTGTCAAATATGACTTCCCTTTTCATTAATCAACGTTAACTCTGCATGTTTTGTATTATCAGTATTTAAATGGCCATGACTATTTCCTGAAAAATACATTCGAGTATTTTCCTAATTATAGATTTTGGCTAAATGGCATACAGTTTCCTGCTTTCTACCTCCCTACTTTCTTGAATAGGATTGTTAAATTTGTGGATTTCCAGAATGCTGAGACTTTTCCAGAATCCAGGTAATTTTGGAAGATTACAATTAATATTAAGGTGGTATTGGAGTTAAGGAAACACTAAAATCTTTCACTGAATTTCAGCTTTAAACTGTATTGGTCATAAGTTATCTTATGACTCTCTCAGTAACCCACTAAAAAGCATTATTTTTGAAAAAAGAACTTGTATATTTTAGCAGAATGTTAAGCCAAACTCAGTATTTGAAACATGGTTGGCAAATGCCAACCATAAGAAAAATTGTATGCTTCTGACATGGAGCCAGAGTCACTCCCACAGGGAATAAATGCAGGGAATTTATCAGCTATATATAGAGAAATTATGTGTTAACAGAGAAGCAACTTTGCAAAGAAGATTTGGAATCTCCTGATCTCTCCAGATGACCAAGCTCATTTCTGCATATTCAAAGTAATTTGCCTTTTTCAGTTCTGTGCTGTATAGGCTTGAGGGAAAGTATATTGCGTCATATAGTCATACAGTTGTGTGAAACAGACCCTTCGGTCCAACTTGTCCATGCTGACCAAGATCCTAAATTAATCCAATCCCATTTGCCAGTATTTGGTTCATATCCCTCCAAGCCCTTCCTATTCATGTAACCATCCAGATGCCTTTTAAATGTTGTAATTGTACCTCTGGCAGCTCATTCCATACATCTTAGGTACAGAGATCAAAATGGTGCACAATTTGGTCTTACCAAAGCCTTACCAATTGTAGCAAAACATCCTTATCCCTAAACTCCAATCACTTCGCAATAAAGGCCTACATGCCATTTGCCTTTCTAATTGCTTGCCAAACCTGCATCGTAACGTGTATTCCTTTTACAAGCGCACCCAAGTCTCTCTCAAAATGAATATTTGAGGTTCACACCTTTCAAAAAAATTCATTTCTTCCTAGCAAAATGAATAAAATGCCACTCTAATGCCCATTCCTGTAATCTGTTTATATCATTTTGCAGCCTCTGTGTCTTCCTCACAACTAGTATTCCTACTTGTTTCATACTGTCAGCAGATTTGGATCCATTATTCTGTCTTTTCATCAAAGTCATTATTATATATTGCAAACAGCTGAGGCCATTCCACTAGTTATAACTTGTCAGCCTGAAATATCCAGTTTATGCCCACTCTCTGCTCCTCTTTTGTTAACCATTCCTCCATCCCTGCTAAAATATTACCCTCAACACCACCTTTTTATATACCATTTGGAAATTTGTACTACGTATAACGGTTATGTCCTCAAAAAGTACATTTTTATCAGATATGATTTCCCTTTCCTAAATCCATGTTGACTTAGAAAATCATAGTTATTAAGACTTCTTTGATGATCGATTCCTACATTTTCCTGATTTCAGGCTAACTGTAGCTCACTGTTTACACCCTATCTCCTTTTTTTGAATAGCAAAGTTAGATTTTCAATCTGCTGGAGCGATTCTACAATCTAGGGAATTTTGGAAAACGCTAACGTAAGCTATCACGTCCTGGGCATTTAATTCCTCAAGTTTCACCAACACTTTTTTTTTCTGCTGATATGAATAGACATATGAAATTAACATCATGTGAAATATCAGGATTTTCACATAAAACTTTTAACAAATGTATTAATCTTTAGTACCAAAAAGTACCATCATACATACGCAAAGTGTAATGTAATCTTTTTTTCAGAGAATCTATTGTGTAAAAAAAAAGATTAAAATGCTGTATTGTCACATTTCCAGCAAATTTGCCATTTTGGGATCATTTCCACGATCCACAGAAAATGTCATAGCACTTTATAAGAAAAAGTATTATACAGATATTCTGATTCAGTCATAATGTTACGTATGTGTCATTCAGTGCACTACCTGGAATTCTGCTTAGATAAAGTGTGCACTTATCTGCAGTCCTCTGTATGCCGTGTTGTCCTTATCAAATAAAGTTAGCAATAATGCACCATGTCAATGAGCTTTATTCGCAGGACACCCTCCTTTTATTTTGGCATTCAGTCATGTGATGTTTCATGTACAGAGACCAAAATGTTTGCTTCTCTTGCTGCTCCAATTTGTTCACTGATCTGTGACTAGTTCAATACTTTTATGTTCAGTAGGGTTTCCAAAATCTGAGTGATTTGAACCTCCTTCCTTGCTTGCTTCACTGCTTGTGTTGTTATTGAGAAAATCTTCACAGTTCATTTGTACTATCATATTAACCCTCTCAGCCACACAATGTGCTGTAAGACGAGCCTCAGGATCATGGTCCCAACATTCTACAATAGTGTCACACAGGAAGTGCATGCCCTAGACACGGAAGAATAAAAATATACGGTAGTCACTACGGTGTAATAAAACTAACAGCCATATATTCACTTATGGTCACTATTTAAGTTTAGTTGAGACAATGCTTGCATCAATTCCAAGAACTATTTGTCATTAATTCTAGGTTAGGTAGTTAAATCATAGACCATGTCTCAATAATTAGACATTAATTATTTATTTAGTTTATGAATCAACAAACTTAAAATATTTTTCTTACATTTTGCTGACATAAGCTAAATAATTACCATAAAGCAGTCTATTTTAAAGGCAAAACTGAAACAAAGAACTGCAGATTGTGGAGATCTGAAACAAAGATTGAAAGTGGTCGGAGAAACTCAGCAGGTCTGGCAGCATCTATGGAGAGAAAAAGACAGTTAATGTTTTGAGTCCAATGACACTTTGTCACAGTTGAGGGTCACTGGGCTCAAAACGTTAACTGTCTTTTTCTCTCCACAGATACTGTCAGATCTGTTGAGGTACTAAAGCATTTTCTGTCTAATTCAAAGGCACTTCTATCGTTCAGATCTCAGTAGATTGAAGCAAACTACCTACATTTCAACATTATTAAAATAAACTTCCTTATCTTTACAGTTAAATCATGGATCAATGAAAATATGGACATATTATTCTGCCATTGGATGAAGGAAGCCAGTTTTAATATAAAAATCTTCCTATGAATGTTACAATATCTGGATTCAAAAGTTAAAAAGTTGAAGTAAGAAGTGCCTTAAAGAAAGAAGAAACATTTGAGGGAACACTTTCTTCAAATATTTTTGGGAAAAGGAATTACTTAAAGAAAATATGTTTATTTTTATTTGTTCCACAATCCCAAGGTCACAGCCTTTTCAGTCTTATTATCATGCAGGGAACAGTTCTAAACAATAGGAACCACACCTCTCCCAACATGGCAAACCAGACAATCAGGAACCCTCATGCTGTAGAATATGAATGTAATCATTACAATGTGCGATCGTCACTTCCTATGAATAATATTCTCTTACAAAATCTTAGCTTTTGTTTTTGAACATATGTGGAGCCTTACCTCTCTGATATTACAAGAGCGAAAAGGGGAAAATGAACATTAACACAGTTGATCCTATTCTCACTGAAGTATAGGCCTAGTACTAGAGATTATTTTAGAATATCCTTCCCTGTTAAATAATACCCATGACAACTAAAGTGATTGTATCAAGGTCATCCAGATGGGCCTCATAGATTATGAGTCCCCTGATTGTGGTTATTAATCTGGTCAAATCAGACAGCCCTGGCTGACAGATAAGAACAGGAGTGTCAGATATCCTGTTCACTTTGAGAGCTGGCTCTGAGGAAGCTGGATCAGTGTTAAGGATTCTCCATGTGTGAATAAAGGGTGACGTGGTGACAGGATACTGTACTCGGTGGAGTTGATTTCAACAACAGTTCATATTTTTTTGCAACATTAACACAATAAGACATACCAAGGTGCTTCACAGGAATGTTAAGCATATTTTGACACCAATCCACATAGAGAGATTCATGGGCAGGAGACAAATAGATCGAAGAAGTAGGTTTTTTAGGAATGTTTTAAAGGAAGACAGAAAGTGGAGAAGGAGAGAAGTTTAGATGGGGAGTTCCATAGCTTAGGACCATAGCAGCTGAAAGGGCAGCTGTCATTGGTGGAGCAATTATAATTTAGGATGCCCCAGAAGTCAGAATTAGAAGACTACAGATATCTCAAAGGTTTGCACAGCTGCCGGACATTACATAGTCTGTGATGAGTGAAGCCACAGAAGGAAATTAAGGGATGGGAATCTTCACTTTAAGCCATTGCTTAACTAAGAACTAGTGTAGCTGTAGTCAACACAGAGGTGAGGAGTGAATTAGATTGCAAGAACCAAGTGAAGTTAAGATATTGTATCAGAGGTTTGGGTGACATTGAGACAACAATGATAGAATATGGGAGACCAGCCTTAGAATAGTGAAGTCCAGAGGTCCTAAAGGCATAGCTGGCAATTTCAGCATAGATGAGTTAATACATGGGCAGTCAGGCAATGGAAACACACTATTTTAATGATGACATGGAAAGATGGTCGGATGATTATTTTGGAGCCAAGGTTGCAAGGATTTTGAAATGGGCAAACTATTTGGTTTTCTATTATTCATAGTGCACAGTTACATACAGTAATAAATTAAAGATGAACTCTCATCCATTACATATGGGTTCAGTTGCTATAAGAATACTACTCAGGGAGCAAAAATAATTTATGTATTTTTGGTGCAGACTAAATTCAATCAGTATGGTTTCCATGACTAGAATGTTCCTTTCCTTTTTTTCCTGTTTAGATATAAATCAACACAAAAAAATGCATATGGTTGATATAAAAAGAAAGCAACAAAATTGTAGAGTGCTACTGACACAAATGCAGAGGACTTTGATTTGAAAATGATTGGAACAAGAGGTGGTACAAGGAAGCATTCTTTTCCACAGTGAATTGTGATCTGTAATTCATTGCCTGACAAGTTGGTGGAAGGAGATTCAATTAATAAAAGGAAGAAATAAATATTTGAAGACAAAATAATAATTAAAGTACTATGGAGAAAGAATAGCAGAGTGGGATTAATTGGACAGCATTCCAAAGAACAAGCGCAAGCACAATAGTGTAAATAGCCTTCATAGCCTTCTTTTTATGATTCTGGAAACCATTTAAGTTCACAGTTGATATGTGCAGGAAATGAAGAGCAGAACAAAACTTAGGAAACCGAGAGAAAAACTCTGAAAGCATGTCAGTGCAGCTAGTTGTGAAATGATAGCAACAAAAAGAAGGAAGGAAAAGGGATGAAAAAAATAAGGCGTCAAGACTTTAATGCTGGATCAGGAAGATCTCCCCTGCTCACCTGATTCCACATTTATGTACACATTTTGAAAAAAAACTTACCCTGTTTGTCAGGATCTATATGTAATAACTTTTAGGTTGGTCTGTTGGGCAGCTTGCAGATCTGGTTTACCTGAATGCATCCAGTGGTTGATTGTAGCAAAGGCTTGAAAGAAACATTAGGTTCCTTACTTGCATGTGCAAGCAACCTGCATCAAGCACGTGTGTCATCCTGGATGCCAGTTTTATTAACTCCACAAATATGGCAGGCACTTTCAATGTGCACTTTCTGTCCACCATGTTGGAATCTTACTGAAGTAGTTCAGTGTCTGAAAAACAAGACCTTGCAAGGTCGAATTTTTCAGCTCAAGTGCTCAAGTCTGGAGTACCTCTGGCTCAGGTGTAGGTGATGCATCTGACTACCAGGGTTATTGTCCCTTGAATGTTTCCATCTCAGTCTAATCTGTGACCTGGACCTTTTCCACAAAAGATAGTCTCAGCCATGGCAAAGATGACAGGAATTCCAAGACCTACCCTCAAAATAGCATTTCTCATTTTCATGGGGGTAAGTAGACTATAGTTCATGCATGTACAGATTCCAGAGGCAGTTAGCCAGTTATATTACCAGTTGCCCCCATTGGAATTGGTATTAGTGCTATCTGGAACCCAGAGTACAGGGATTGGAACACGTAAGAGCAAGTCTGTTCTTATTGCATTTCTTTTGAATAACCAGGGCATCCCTTTGGAAAGTTGAGATACCCTAGCGGATACAGTCCCAGGATACCTTGGATGTGAAGATCAAGGTTCTGCTGAAGGGGGTTGGGTGACAGCTATCCTTGGGGGTGAGAGGGTGGTTTCAGGTGCCCTTTGGGATTTAACTATGGAAACTATGCCAAGCACTGTCAAAAAATAACAAAATGTGTTTTTATGAATTTTTTTTTAAATAGTGGTGCCTGCCATATAGAACTTTAAACAATAGCACTTTTTTTTCTCCTATTTACATGGGTTCTCATGGATGCTCAATGAGTTGGCATGGCAGGTAAGGGGGACGGAAATGTGGTGAGTGGGACTAAGTATTAAGATAGCATAGTGATATGAGGAGTATAGGATGGGCATGGGCATTGGCTGGCATAGGGGATATGTGGAGTTATGGGAGAGGGTGAAGGGCACATAGGTTGGCCTGGGAGTGGAGGAGCAAGAATAAGCAGGGATAAGGGCTGGGAAAATGGTTTATATTTGTCCTCTTATGGAGGTAAGGTGTTCCTTTAAATCTGATTTTGGGACATCTTTGGTCAAGGTAAGGCACACTTCGAATTGTTGCAAAAGGCATGCTTGAGTTAAAAAGTGCAAAAACTGATTGGAATTACTAAAGCTTCCTTTTCAATTTTTTCAAAAAAGTTTTTAAAATGTACTAGGTAATTCAAACTGTCTGTTCACGTGATCATTACAGGGTTTGTCGGGAGGAACTTCTTCACCCAAAGGGTTGTGAATCTGTGGAATTCCCTGCCCAGTGAAGTGGTTGAAGCTACCTCGCTGAATGTTTTTAAGGCAAGGCTAGATAAATTTTTGAACAGTAAAGGAATTGAGGGTTATGGTGAGTGGGCGGGTAAGTGGAGCTGAGTCTCAAAAAGATCAGCCATGATCTTATTAAATGGCGGGGCAGGGTCGAGGGGCCAGATGGCCTACTCCTGCTCCTACTTCTTATGTTCTTATTACGTTGTGCTGCATGCTTGATTTCTATATCATTTTCACTTTGGGGTGCCTCTTAAGGGAGCATTTTGATGAATAGCTCCAACTGTTTATTGAACAGAAATGTTTCTTTACATATGGGATGAAGTAATTAGGTACTGAAGTGAAATTTTTGTTTTCATGAGAGATTAGTTAATAGAATGTTAATGTATTGGTTTTTCATTCCTCAGTAATGGAAGCATCAATAGACACAGTCAGCATGCCTCTTCAGTCTTGCACATGGTGGATTCTTAGTGAGTTGTCATGGAGAAGAAGGGGCAAAGGGTGGCAGGGAGGGGTAATGATTTGGTATTGGGTCTGTGAAAGGCCTTGGGGATGTTTGGAGGCAGAGTGTCCTGCAGGGGATGTGAGGAATCATGGAGGATGGGCAGATGGGCATTGGGTAGCTTAGACAATACGTTGTTAGGGTGAGGGGGAGTGAGTAGGCAGCATGTTTTATGTTTCCATTTTAATTTTTTATACTTTCATCACAGTATTATAGCCCTGAGACAGGCTTTCCACCCATCCCATCTTGGGAATTGACATGGCCTTAGTCTTCCAGGTTATCCAGCCCAACTCCAAGTCAGCCTACACTGCCCACCTCAGGCCAAAAATGGGAATGTCTGGAAGGTCAGGTTTGTGGACTCAGGATTTCTACCTGCTCTGTGCACCTGACTTGTGATTGAGAATCAGGGCCCATATTTCAATTGTCTAGGGTCTGGTTCCTCAAATACGAACCTCTTAAATGTGTTAGATAAATTTACCCAGTTATTTCTGGTGGATTGTGATCCAAAGAGTGGTCTTTAGTTTTTCACCACCAGAAAGTGCTCTTAAACTGAGTATTATTAGGTAATGACCTCTTTAATAAATGGCCATCAGTAGGGATTTCACTATTTAGCAGATCCTTGACTTTAAAAACTTAGCAGTAATACATGAAAAGCATTGATTTTGGGGAGAATGATGTTAACAAATTTGTTGTGGTGATCTGTAATTATCATATTTTCTGAATGAGAAGGATACCTAACGAGTTAGTTTAATACTAAAATTGTCTATGTAACAAGAAGCACATTGACTCTAGAAGGTACATTTAATATTGTCCTTTCTTTGATACAAAGAAAAATTGTGCTGTCAGTCATATTTGTTCTGCAGTCGTCACATACTTAACTTACTTTGTGTACCAGCCAGTTGCTGGGAATTTCAGGACGACCTCTGTCCCTTAATACAATGTCCCTCATGCTTTCAACACATGCATGATCACGAACCTTTGATCCAAAAGGCGATTCATAACTTTTCACCTCTGTAAGAAAATTAAAGACATATTATTTATGAATGCATTTTTTAATTCACCAGTGGGACTTGAGTGTCATGCTGGGCCAGCATTTATTGCCTGTCCCTATTTGCCCTTGAGAAGGTGGTGGTGAGCTGCTTTCTTGAACTGCTTGCAGTCCATGTGCTGTATATAGACCCACAATGCCCTTAGGGAGGAAATTATATATAATTTTAATCCTAACATTTCAATATTCAGACATGTTGGATGTTGCTATGTTTTAGCAAATTATGTTTATTGTAAAACACTGCAAGACATTATGTTATCATTAGGAGTGCTATATCAGTCATCAGTAGTTGAAATATTAAGCTTAAACAGCTGGGTAAGTTTAACTACTTGGTGGACATTATGATGGTAATCTTCACTTCCATCAATGGGGCAACAGAGTGGATGACAGGAGAGTTTACTTGCTTTAGAACCTATGACTGCATTCCTAGTTTATTCTTGAAAATGGCGATAGCCAATGACCCTTCCAATTCATTTTCTAAAAATAAAAAATGACGACATTTTCACTCTCCTCAGCAAATTCTTTATCCCCTTGCTCAATTTCCCTTCTGACTACCTTCCTTAACCCCCACATTATAGAAGTGATTTGATTGCACTAGAGAGGGTACAGAGATTTACCAGGATGTTGTCTCGGCTGGAGAGTTTTTTTTTATTCGTCCGTGGAGCATGGACATTGCTGGCTGGCCAACATTTATAGCCCATCCCTAGTTGCCCTGAGAAGATGGTGGTGAGCTTCCTTCTTGAACTTCTGTAGTCCTTGTGCTGTTGCTATGTTTTAGCAAAAGCATTGATTTTGTGGAGAATAACCCACAAAGCTCTTAGGGAGGGAGTTCCACAATTTGAACCCCGTGACAGTGAAGACGCAACGATATATTTCCAAGTCAGGATGGTGAGTGGCTTAGAGTGGAATTTGAGGGTGGTGGTGTTGTCCTTGTCCATTGAGATGGAAGTGGTTGTGGGTTTGGAAGGTGCTGTCTGAGGATCTTTGGTGAACTTCTGCAGTGCATCTTGTAGATAGTACACACTGCTGCTACTGAACGTGGTGGTGGAAGGAGTGGATGCTTATGGGGATGCAGTGCCTATCATATGGGCTGCTTTGCCTTGAATAGTGTCAAGCTTTTTGGGTGTTGTTGAAGCTACAATTATCTAGGCAAGTGGGGAGTATTCCACAACACTCCTGGCTTGTGCCTTGTAGATGGTTGACAGGCTTTGGGGTGTCAGGAGGTGAGTTACCACAATATTCCTAGCCTCTGACCTGCTGTTGTAGCCACTGTGTTTATGTGATAAATCCAGTTATGTTTCTGGTCAAAGATAAGCCCCCAGTAAATTGATAGTGGAGTATTCAGTGATGGTAATGCCATTGAATGTCAAGGGGCAGTGGTTAGATTGTCTCTTGTTGGTGATGGTCATAGCCTGGCATTTGTGTGGCATAAATGTTACCTGCTACTTGTCAGGTCAAGCCTGGACATTGTCCAGATCTTGTTGCATTTCAACATAGACTGGTTCAGTATCTGAAGAGTCATGAATGGTGCTGAACATTGTGCAATCATTGACAAACATCCTCACTTCTGATCTTATGAAGGTCATTGGTGATGCAGCTGAAGATGGTTGGGCCCAGAGTACCCCGAGTAACTCCTGCAGAGATGTCATGGAACCGAGATTCCAACAACTGTAATCATTTTTCTATGCCAGATATGACTCCCACCAGCAGACAGTTTCCCCTCAATACCCATTGATTCCAGTTTTACTAGAGCTCCTTGATGCCACACTCAGTTGAATACAGCCTTGATATCAATGGCTGTCACTCTCACTTCACCTCTGGTATTCAACTCTTTCAACCATGTTTGAACCAAGGCTGTAATAAGGTCAGGAGCTGAGTGGCCTTGGCAGAACCCAAACTGGGCGTCACTGAGCGGGTTATGTCTGAGTGGGTGCTGCTTGATAGCACTGTTGATGACACCTTCTATCACTTTACTGACGATCAAGAGTAGACTGATGGGGCGATAATTAGCCGGGTTGGATTTGTCCTGCTTTTTATGTATAGGATATACCTGGGCAATTGTAGGGTAGATGCCAATGTTGTAAATGTACTGGAAGAGCTTGGCTAGAGAAGTGACAAGTTCTGGAACACAAGCTTTCAGTACTATTGCTGGAATGTTGTCAGGGCCCATAGACTTTGCAGTATCCAGTGTCTCCAGCCGTTTCTAGATATCATGTGGAATGGATTGAATTGGCTGAAGATGCTGGGAACCACTGAAGAAGGCTGAGATGGATCATCCATCACAGCACTTCTGGCTGAATATTGCCTCAAATGCTTCAGCCTTATCTTTTGCACTGATGTGCTGGGCTCTTCGATCATTGACAATGGGGATATTTGTGGAGCCTCCTCTTCCAGTGTGTTGTTTAATTGTCCACCACCATTCACGACTGGATATGGCAGGACTGCAGAGCATAAATGTGATCTGTTGGCTGTGGGATCACCTAGTTTTGTTTCTTTATGCTCTTTGGCATGCAAGTAATCCTGTTTGGTAGCTTCACCAGGTATACACTTCATTCTTAGGTATGCCTGGTGCTGCTCCCAGCATGCCCTTCTACACTCTCCATTAAAACAGGGTTGATCCATTGACTTGATGGTAATGGTTGAGTGAGAGACATGCCAGGACACAAGGTTGAAGATTGTGCTGGAGAATAATTCTGCTGCTGTTGATGGCCCACAATGCCTTGTGGATGCACAGTCTTGAGTTTCTAGGTCCGTACGAAGTCTGTCCAGTTTAGCACGGTAATAGTGCCACATAACACAATAGGGGTTATTCTTAATGTGAAGGGGAGACTTTGGCTCCACAAGGAGTGTGCAGTGGTCATTCTTACCGATACTGTCATGGACAGGTGCATCTGTAGCTAGCAAATTGGAAAGGAAGAGGTCATGTATGTTTCTCCCCTTTGTTGGTTCCCTCACTGCTGCAGATTCAGTCTAGCAGCTATGTCCTTTAGGATACAACCAGCTCAAGCAGTAGTGCTGCTGCTGAGCCACTCTTGGAGGTGGAAGTTGGAAACCCCCAGCCAGAGTACATTTTGCAGCCTAGCACTCTTGTTGCTACCTCCAAGTGTTGTTCATCATGGAGGAATACTGGTTCATCAGTTGAAGAACATAAGAATTAAGAGTGGGAAGAGGCAATTCAGCTATTCCAGCTCACTGAGCATTTAACATGATCATGGCTTATCTTGGTCTCAACTCTACTTGTCTGCCTGCTCTCCGAAGCCCTTTACCCGACTTTTCATCAGAAACGTATCTATTTCTTTCTTGAATCTGTTGATTGATTCTGCCTCCACTGCACTCTGGGGCAGTGAGTTCCACAGATTCGCAATCCTCTGAGAGAAGTCGTTTCTCCTCATCTCAGATTTGAACCCACCACCTCTTACTGTATGCCTATGGCCTCTCGTTCTAGACTGTCCCACAAGAAGGAACATCTGTTCAACATCCACCTTAATAATCCCCTTTAGCAATTCATATGCCTCAAGATACTGTCCAGGAAGGACGACATGGTAATTAGCAGGAGATTTCCTTGCCTGTGTTTAACCTGAAGCCATAAGACTTCATGGGGTCCACAGACAACTTTGAGGAAGCCCAGGGCCAATCACTATGCTGCCATCTTTGCTGTGTCTGTCCTGCTGGTGGAACAGCACATATCCAGGGATGGTTGTGTCTGGGACTTTGTCTGTCAGGTATGATTCTGTCAGGCTGTTGCTTGACTAGTCTGTGAGACAGCTCTCCTGATTTGGTGTTAACCTCCAGGTGTTAGTAAGGATGACTTGGCAGGGTTGACGGGGCTTTTTATTTTACCATGTGGTGCATTGTGCAACAGAGCCTTCATTTTGAGGGCCGAGTGTGAGAGAGTTAAGGGAATACTTCACAATTTAAATGCTCAACAAGTTTGTACAAATTAAATTGCAATATAATCATTTTGAAATACAAGGCTTTTTTATTTGTTTTCTGCATTGTTGATTAATTTTAAACATAAATTGCTTGCTATTTGTAAAAACGTTAGCTTGGTAGGATGGTCATCTGGAAATTTAAAAGATCAGTAGATGTCAGCTCTTTTAGAAATGTGGAAAATAAGGAAGAGATCAAGACTGCTGTTATTGAATCTGCTAGAAATAAAACTGTCTAGTGGAAAATGAGTTCATTGTTGATTCTGAACATTAATAAGATTGCAGACGAAGGATTTTGGCTCGCATTCTAAAATGGCATTGATTGCTCTTCCAAATCTGGCCGGATGTGTTGTCAATGTTTGTAACATTTTGAAATTATCTTTTGCCATAACTTTATTGAGAACCTATTAAGTAAGACAATGATACCACAGCCTTCAAAATCCACCAGTTATGATTATTTATCATAAATGATAGCCACTTTGGCAGATGCCCAAGCATCTGTAAATCCATCCCCTTTCCTAATGATTACTCTCAAATTGTTTATTGTTCATCTAGTAATAAATGTACTATTGGTGGGATTTTGATGGATACAGTATTTTCTAAAACATATGGTAAAATGTGATGTCATTTGATAAGGTACTGCACATTAGGCTACTTAATAGGTAAGAGTCCACGATGTTGGGAGTAATATGTTAGCATGGATAAAGGATTGGCCATCTAATAGAAGACAAGGATAAGCCCTTCCAGATATTTCCTGGATAGAAACTTATAACTGGTGGTGTCACAGGCATCAGTGCTGGGCCACAATTATTTACTGTTTGGTCATGCCTTAAATGAGGAAAATGAATGTGCTACAGCCAAGTTTGCAGATGACACAAAAAAGGCGAGAAGGCAATCAAGAAGGATGACACAATCAGTCTGCAGAGGGACATAGACAGCTTATGTGAGTTGACAAAATTTGGTAGATGGAGAATAATGTGGGGAAATGTGAGGTTGTGCACTTTAGCAGAAAGAATACAGGCACTGAGTATTATATAAATGGAGAAAGACTGGAGAAAGGTATGGAGCAAAGTGATTTGGGAGTCCTCATCCATGAATCTCAAAAAGCTAGAATCCAAGTTCATCAGGAAATAGTAATACGGAAGGCAAATGGAATATTGGCCTTTATTTCAAAGGGAATGGAGTATAAAAGTAGGGATGTTTACTAAAATTATAAAAAGCATCAGTCAGACCGTAGCTGAAATACTGTGAACAGTGTTGGGCCCTAATGTAAGGAAAGATATGGTCACATTGGAGGCTGTCCAAAGAAAATTCACTTGGCTGATGCGAGTTATGGAAGGATTGCCTTATGAGGAAAAGTTGAGGAAGGGTCACCGGACCCGAAACGATAACTGTTTTTTCCTTCACAGATGCTGCCAGGCCTGCTGAGCTTTTCCAGCAACTTTGTTTTTGTTCTTGAGTGGATTGGGTCTGTGCTTGTTGGAATATAGAAGAAATGAAAGGTGACCTGATTTACAAGATTTTTAGGGGACTTCAGAGGGTTGATGTGGAAAGATTGTTTCCCCATATGGGAGAATCTAGGACCAGAAGGCTTAATCTCAGGATATGAGGTCACACGTTTAAAACAGAGAAGAGGAGCAATTTCCTCTCTGAAGATGGTGAATCTGTGAAATTCTTTACACTAGAGGGCCATTGAGGCTGGGTCATTAAGTATATTCAAGGTTGAGATGACGTTTTTAAATCAGTAATGTTATGGGAATAAGATAGGAAAGTTATTAGATCAGTCACGATCTCATTAAATGGTAGACCAGACACAATGGAAGAAGAAGGGTCTTCATTTCTGAAGAAGGGTCCAGGCCCGAAACGTCAGCCTTCCTGCTCCTATGATGCTGCTTGGCCTGCTGTGTTCATCCAGCTTTACGCCTTGTTGTCTCACAATGGACTAATAGCCTTTTTCTGCACTTACACTTTATGTATCCTCGTTTTTTAGTATGTTTCTATTCATGAATATCTAGGCAATATACAAAATAAAGTGTTTTGTAAGTAAAAAAGATCTAATGATGATCCTTGAGCATGGTAATTGTAAATGGTGTAGAATTTTAAATGGGTTTCTTAATGTAGGCTATTCCCATCAATGTAAATTAGACATCAGAATCAAAACACTAAATTGCACATTATAATTTTCAAAAGCTCAAGCTAAATTTATATTTAAGTATGAAAAAAGTGAAATATAGTTTATTACAATGAGAAATCATAGTGGTAATGATTGTGCATATTATTTGTATTGCATTTTGCACCAGAAGTACAGCTTTTCATTACTGGCTGTTCTAGCATTATATTGCCTAGAGATGTCACTAAAGAGCTACAATACTATGTATTCATTTGTAGTTTACGTGTAAATAACTTGACATGTCAGTGGGATCCAGCTGGATCCAATACATTGGCAGAGCAATATGGCCATACTAGTCTGAAAATGCCTGATTTTGGAAGCTAAGCAGACTCAGCCCTAATTAGTACTAGGATAGGAGACTGTCTGGGGTTACCAGGTGCTGTAAAAGACACCCTCTTTGGTGCAGTAGTAGCGTCTGCACCTCTAGAGTAGAAGGTCTGGGTTCAAATCCAACCTGCTTCAGAGGAATGTATCAGCAAGTTGATGAGGGGGATAAAAAATATGTTGAATTAAAAAAAGGACTAGTTTCAAAAAAGGCAGTAAGAGCAGCACTGGTGGTAGCCTATTGATTGCAGCAGTACCTGCACCATTGTGGAGATGGAACTTGGGACTCCAAGATCTGGACTTTTCCTTTTCTTTGGCTCTGTTAAATCTTTTATTCTGCACTTTTCACTGTACTTATGTATTCCTATACTTAGTACATGTGACAAACAAATAAATCTAAAAAAAAGGTCATGGTTTTGGTGCTGGAAAGGTTGCTCAGTTGTGTGTGGTAACACTTCTGGGTAGATATAAAGAAAGGGACTAGTTAGTGCTTGGACGTCACCGGAGAAAGAGCATGTGGTGTCCGTCAACACTCTTGATGCCTTTTGAGAATGGTGGCCACCACAGGGGATATAGTGCCTTATTTCCCTGTTCAACTGCATGTTGATTTTGTCCCTTCCCTCTCCCTACATCCCTCCCCCGTCACTTTTGATGCTTTGCATTGTCCGTAATGGATTTTCCTTATAAATACTGAATTGGCTACACAGGTATTTTTACTACTAGTGGATAGTAGTTGAGAAAAAAAAGCAAAAAAAAATGTCACGGTGATTTTGGTGGTGGGAAGGTCACTCAGCTGTGTATATACACTTCTGTGTATAAGAAGAAGGCACTAACTAGCAGTTAATAAAAAGTCACAGTGTTTTGGTGATGGGAAAAACCGTTCAGTTATGTGTGATAGCATTTCTGGACATGGAATAAAAGAAATAGTCACATGTTGCAAGATTGGCATATACAGAATAATATTCTATGTTAACAATACTTAAAATTAATTATATCAGCAATTCCTACTAAAGGAAAAAAATGATGAATATAGGTTGAAAACTGTCTTAAATTTGTCAGCAGTAGGATAGGAATATTTAATCAGAAATCTAATCAATCAAAATTGCTTGTTGTTCAGGGTCCAACTTTCTCTTTTTCCTGGAATGAGCATTGCAGTGTTTATCAGAAGAGTTTGGAAACAATGGGGTAGAATTTTTACTTATACGAGGTGGAAATTTGTGGTAACAGGCATTGATTTTTGGAAAATAAAAAAAAACTTTGATCTCAGGATGTTAATGATTTAAATGGTCTACAATAGGACACCCATTATATGGTATAAAATATTATCTTGATGAGGCAATGGAAAATCTTAAATTTGAATAAAGCATACTGGCTAAGATGGTGAAAAGAAATAAAAAAGATGAAAAATGGTAAAAAAAGAACGTAGGGGAGAATGGAAAGAAAGAAACGCTAATCCCTTACATACGGGCCTCTGCCTTGCCAAGTGCTTAAGAAGGTTCCAAATTATCAACCCACCTCCTGGATATTTACCATCACCCCATACTATAACGAAAATTGACTGGGTAAGCAAGGAAGTCAAAGTTGGAAAAAGAAATCAAGGCGTAGGACCAAATGCTGATTGGTTATCACCCATGTTATGCTATGTCTAAGACCAATTTCAGTCCTTGTGATTTGGAGAGGTTTAGTCACAACACTTTGTTCTCAGTAGGTACTCAATAAAGTCCTGTTTCGAATCAAGGAAAGGGAAATAAAGTGGCATATTTGACTTTGGTTTATTTTAACATTTTGGGGCGATTAGAAACAGAACTAACTTCTCCTGGGAGTACGTCTGCATTGGAAAAGCAGCTGCCTACAGTTGCGTGGGAACATCTAAGAAGACAAAACTAGCTGTCTGGCTCTTACTTTCTTGTTGCATTAATTATGAAGCAACTTAACTATATCTTGTTTGGTCTCCATTATGACAGGATTTATGCTGCTTTTGTGTAATTTATAATAGAGTTGATTTGTAGATGTTAACCAAATAAAAAGTCACAATTGAGGCAATCGCAAGTTCAGGCTTGATACAGAAAGGATAACAATGGGATAGAATGGGAAAAGATATTGCTGTAACAATATTGGGATCCTTTTCGCATGAAATGATGAGAAATACATGGGGCAGTATGATTGTTGTATCTGGAAAATTTACAATAAAAAGCCAGTAGAATAAACATTCGTGGTAATATTCCGTATTTCAGAATGTTTTTTCTAAGAATTGTACATTTTTACTAGTTTAGAATGCAATAGCATTTTCTCTATATCATTTAAAAACTAAATATTTAATGGCCTGATGTTGACCTTACCTCCAATTACCTCACATCGAGAAGCCATCTCCCATAGAACCAAGGCCATTGAATATATATCCATCTGTTTAAATGACTCAAGATCTTCCAGGTTAACACGAGATTCTAGAACTTCAGGTGCCATATACCTGGCAGTGCCAACCTGCCCAACAAGACAACAAATTTCTGTTTGTTTATGTAGTGGCAAGTTATATTTATTCATCTGTGAACATTGAATGTAGTAAGAATAAGCAACAAAAGTGCTATATCCTCCAAAATCAAACATGCAGTCTTCAGAAACAAAATGCTTTTGAAATAGCACTCAAAGATAAACGTTTATTTCTGGTCAAATATATATATGCTCTCATCTTAGGTCACTTAACATCACATCATATTGCCTTATTGTAGTTCCTAATTGATCACATGATAATTTCAGCAAGATTACAGTTGCATAACAGTATTAAAATTTTTCAGATGTGTAAGTGTTTGTGTAGATTAATCTTAACTTTACTTTATATGCATCCTGTTTTATTTTAAAATTAGAGTGATTAAGAGGATACTTAAATTGAAGTGGCAAATTGAAGTGGTAAATTCACTCAACTGGGAATTTAGGGGAAGTGAGGGCCTGCTGGTATTAATGCTGGACTGTTACTGTTCTGGGGATCTGGATTCAAATCCTATCCCAGCAGGTAATGAATTTGAATTCAATAAATGAAAATCTTGAATTTAGAGTTTAATGATGTGATCATGAAACCATTGTTGATTTTTGTGAAAAACCCATCTGGTTCACAGATGGGAACTGGGAAACTTCCATCCTTATCTGATCTAGCCTATGTGTGACTCCAGACCTACAGCAATGTGGTTGATGCTTAACTGCCCTCTGGGCAATTAGGGATGAGCAATAAATGCTGGCCTAGCCAATGATGCCCTCATAAAATTAACTAGGTCTCTGGATTTTTGGGTGTCTCCAGAGAACCCAGTTAATGCTCTGGAGGCATGGGTTTGAAATCCATCAACACAGATGGTGATGTTTGAATTCAATAAGATCTAGAATTAAAAAAGCTTGCCTGATGCTTTGCTGGATGACCTAATTCTGAGCTGTAGCACATTATGTAACATGTACTGAAGACTAAACTAGTGGCTACCTAAACACAGAAATGCTTCTGAACTATCAGAAAATGACTTTCAGCACATTACATCATAAATTACAATGTACACATAGATATTACATGCCATGCATCAAGGTAAAAGATATAATGAAGTGGGTGCAAAAGATTTTGGAAAGGGAAGGGAATATCTGTAAACAACAACATAGAATTATGAAATCATGGAATCATAGAGCCGTAGAATCATAGAATCATTGAACAACAAGAACTAGTGTGTATTCGCATTGTTGCTTTAACACAATTATATGATGCTAGTTGCTTAGCAGAAGCATTATCAAATAAAACTTGATGAAGTAGATTCATAAATTTTCAGGAGCATCTACTCCTGACAACCTTGGACTGCCTCACCTAACAAAAAAAATTACCTACCATACCTGAAAAACTTTCAATGACCCCACCTCCATTGCCTTCTGAGGCAGAGAATTCCAAAGGTGCATAATCCTCAGAAAAAAATAGTTTCCCTATCTCTGTCCTTAAAGGATACCTCTAACTTTAAAACAATGACCCCTATTTCTGGACTCATCAACAGTCAACATTGTATCTACATCCTCCTTGTCAAGACCATTCAGGATCTAATACACTTCAATCAAGTCAATCTTTAGTCTTCTAAACTCCAGTGAAAACAGTCTCAGTCTGTTCCACCTATTCTCATAAGAAAACCTGCCCATTAGAGAATCATAAAAACTCTACAATGCAGAAAAAGGCTGTTCAGCCCATCGGGTCTGTATTGGCCCTCAAGAGTATTCCAGCCAAATCCAAATCCAGCCCCCTATCCTATCTCCATAACCCTGCATTTACCATGGCTAATCCACCTAGCCTGCACTTCCCAGGTCACTACCATGGACCTCAGCTATTAACAATGGAGTCACTTATGTGACAGCATAGGTCACTACACTTACAGATTCTTGTGAATGTATTCAATAGCTGACCTCTATGGGTTAGGGACTATCGAGTCAGATTTCACTTTGAGGTCTGAGATGTCCAGTATTCACATCAGCTGGGATCATAACATTTGGATGAGTTGATCAAATATAATGTATCCAATTTGGAATCATAAAGTCATAGAGATGTACAGCACGGAAACAGATCCTTCAGTTCAATTCATCCATGCTGACCAGATATCCTAAATAAATCTAATCCCATTTGCCAGCATTTGGCCCATATCCCTCTAAACCCTGCGAATTCATATACCCATCCAGATGCCTTTTAAATGTTGTCATTTATAACAGCCTTCACACTTCCTCTGGCAGCTCATTCCATACATGCACTACCCACTGCCCCTTATGCCCACCCCAGGGAGAAGACCTTGTCTATTTACCCTATCTATGCCCTTCATGATTTTATAAACCTCTATAAGGTCATCCCTTAGTTTCCGACAGTCCAGGGAAAATAGCCTCAGTCTATTCAGCCTCTCCCTATACCTCAAACCCTCCAACCTTGGCAACATCCTTGTAAATATTTTATGAACCCTTTCAAGTTTCACAACATCTTTTCTGTAGCAGGGAGACCAGAATTGCACGTAAATTCCAAAAGTGGCCTTACCAATGTCTCGTACAGCTGCAACATGAGCCAGTTCTGTATCCAAATCGCTAGTCCTTCCTGTATTTCATGGGATATTACCTGCTAACCACTCTACCATGAGGAACCTTGTCGAACGCCTGACCGATGTCCATATTGATCATGTCCACCGCTTTGCCTTCATCAATACTCTTTGTTACTTCTTCAAAAAACTCAATTAAATTTGTGATTTCCCATGCACAAAGCCATGTTAACTATCTGTAATCAGTTCTTGCCTTTTTAAATACATGTAAATCCTATCCCTCAGGATTCCCTCCAACAACTTGCCCGCCACTGATGTCAGGCTTACCAGCCTATAGTTCCCTGGCTTTTCCTTGTCACTTTTCTTAAAAAATGGTGCCACGTTAGCCAACCTCCAGTCTTCTAGTACCTCACCTGTGGCTATCGATGATACAAATATTTCAGCAAGAGGCCCAGTAATCACTTCCCTGGCTCCCCACAGAGTTCTAGTACAGCTGATCAGGTCCCAGGGATTTATCCGCCTTTATGTTTTTTAAGCTGTCCAGCACCTCCTCCTCTGTAATATGGACATTTTTCAAGATGTCGCTATTTATTTCCCCACATTCTCTATCTTCCATCTCCTTCTCCACAGTAAACACTGATGCAAAATACTCATTTAGTATCTCCCCCATCCCCTGTAGTTTCACACATTGGCAGCCTTGCTGATCTTTAAGGGTTCTATTTTGTCCCTAGTTACCCTTTTGTCCTGAATGTATTTATAGAATCCCTTTGGATTCTCCTTAACCCTATTTGCAAAAGATATCTTATATCCCCTTTTTGCCCTCCTGATTTCCCTCTTAAGTATACTCCTACTGACTTTATACTCTTCTAAGGATTCGCTCAATTTCTGCTGTCTATACCTGACGTATGCTTCCTCCTTTCTCTTGATTAAAACCTCAATTTCTCTAGTCATCTAGCATTCTGTACTCTGACCAAAATTGCCCTTCACCCATTCTGTCTCTGGAGTTTTTTTTTCTCATTTTGAAGGCTTCCCATTTTCCATCCGCCCCCAATCAACTTTTGAAAGTTCTTGCCTGTCAGAATTGGCCTTTCTCTAATTTAGAACTTTAACTTTTAGATCCAGTCTATCCTTTTCCATCACTATTTTAATACTAGTGAAATTATGGTCACCGGCCCCAAAATGCTTACCCACTGACACCTCTGTCACCTGCCCTGCCTTATTTCCCAGGAGTAGTTCAGGTTTTGCACCTTCTTTTGTAGGTACATCCACATACTGAATCAGAAAATTTTCTTGAACACACTGAACAAATTCCTCTCTGTCCAAGCCCTTTACACAATGGCAGTCACAGTCTATGTTTGAAAAATTAAAATCCCCTACCATAAGTGCCCTATTATTCTTACAGATAACTGAGATCTCCTTACAAACTTGTTTCTCAATTTCCCCCTGACTATTGGGTTTGCCTGACAGCACAAAATTTGTGGGAAACTAAACCATGGAGAGGACATAAAGTGACATCAAGGTAATATAGACCAGTTAATTGATTGGCCAAGAAGGTAAATGGAAGTGTGAAATTACCCATTTTGAAGGGAAGAGTGGAAATGCCAAGACATTTTAAAAGGTGAGACAGAGAGAAGAATTAAAAAAAAGATTAGAAAAAAATGACAGATAATAACAAAATAATATTGTTCTTTAAAAATAAAATTAAATTTGTATTCAGTCATCTAACACCTCAATTTTAAAATTCTCATTCTTGGATTTTTATCCCTCATGGTTTGTCCCCTCCCAATCTTTGTGGCCTACTCTAGCTTTAAAAACATTGGGAGCTGTCTGCTTGCTACAAATACAGAGAAATTACACAGGAAAAAGGCCACTTGTCCTGACCAGTCCATGTATGTCTTTATCCACCATGTGAATAAGTAATTCTGCTGGCATTTACCCACCCTCTTATTTCCTTCATTCCACTTTCTATTCATCTAGTTAACAATTTTATATTCAAAATTAAATTAGTTAAGTACAGAATTCATTCTACAGTTGATCAACTTATGCATCATAATCAGAAATAATATTGCAAAAACTGTTTTTCTTCATTTTTGATGACACCAAAATTAGTGGAATAGCGGACATTGAAGAAGGTTTCTAAGAGTACAACAGAATCTTGATCAACTGAGTCAGTGGGGCGAGGAATGGCAGATGGAGTTTAATTTAGATAAATATGAGGTGTTGCATTTTCTTAAGACAAACCAAGGCAGAAATTACACAGTCAATGGTAGGGCCCTGGAGAGAAACCTCGGGGTGCAGGTACATAATTCCTTGAAAGTGGCATCAGGGGTAAACAGGGTGACGAAGAAGCCATTTGGCATGTTTGCCTTAATCAGTCAGAGCATTAAGTACAGGAGTTGGGACGTCATGTTATGGCTGTACAAGACATTGGTCAGGCCACATTTGGAGTACTGCGTA